GTTTAATTGTGTGATTCTCATGCAATCATTACACACGATTTCTTATCGGGGTATATGTTGTATATTAATATCCGTATATAAGAACATGGTCACAGCCACATATTGCTAACAGGACCTAAATCCTGCTAATTTCACTTAACGGTATAAGGTACTGAAAAAATACATAAAGCGAGAGTGTGTCAGTCAGTGTTTTTGCCAAAGCCGCCGTTACGAAAATCTTCGGACTCGACGACAGGATCACAGAGAGTGATTCGAAAACTCCACGTCCATTCGGTTATACGTATTCAGCAGAGATTTATAAATCCTCGCATTGCAAATGAGGGGAAGTTGAACATTTTTCATTTTCGAGAACCGAAGAAAATGTTTTCGATCGCACAGTTTGCTGGATATAAATGACGTTCATCGATATTTTCAGGTGTAGGGTAATTCCGGGTGAGACGGCCCGCTCTCACATTTTCTATCTGTATTTTCAATTGTTTTCAGTCGTATACTGAATATTGCACTGCTATTTAATTATTCCTCTACATATATATATATATATATATATATATATATTTACTTTCATAAATATATTTTATTTCTGTTAGACGTTAACCCTTATCACTCCAAGAATACCATAGAATGATTGCCAGTTGCAAATCAATTTTCTTCATTTCAAAGAGGAAATTCAATTATGAACGTTAGATAAACATAAGAAGAAATATCAAAAAGAGACAGATACAAGAGTGAGACTACAGGTTGGAGTGGTAAGGATTAATGGTATTTAGAAAGAAATACTTCTTTTATAAAATCTAGGCTATCTCTATCCGACTTACCCTACATCTTTTCTAATCGGAAATCAGAGAAATTGTTTGCTGGATTGCAATCGGTAAGCCCATGGAATACTATCCCTGTGGACCTTCTATCCATACTACGACGCAGTTCTCTACACACGTGCCTCTTGCGTTCTCGTTAGGTTAAGTTACCTTGCGCCTGATACCGATCAAATCTTTCTGTTACGCACTTTATCGTGTCCACGGTAGTTACTATACTCTTTTCGCCGAAATCAGAACATGACACAATTAAATTACATTCTGTGTATTTTAGGAGGGAAACATTGACCGTCCCAGACCACCAGAGCAGAGCTAGTCGTTCCAGCTTCTTTTACTCTATCACTCTGTCCGGCGCAGCAGAGTAGACAACATTCGACAAAACTTTCCGTGTCTCCTTACCGTTTCAAATTATTCGTATAATTCTCTACTCTACTTTGCTAGGCAGTAATCAACGCTACAGGACGATAAAGGCTGGGCATTCGCTAGCATCCTGCAAAGTATTAGGTTGTCCCAAAAGTACCTTTCATTTGATTGGTATAATCAATGCGTAACATGTCTCATTAACACTAGAACTACCGTACCAGTCAAAATGACCGGTTTCCATTTGTTTGTTCAGCAATTATCGATATCTTCGAAGCATCGAATATTCGAAATGATTTTGAAAATAAATAGTTTCATTTCAGTACTACAATGAATGCCTGAAGAAACTGACAATAATCTATTGTTACAATTTTTATGGGAACTGCATATTAATCGTATTAAACGCTCGGTAGTTCTAGTGTTAACTCCGGTCTATTCTACCTTCCGATCATACCGATCTTCTTTCCTTTTCCGAATTAGACCACGAAAGAAACTTATAGGACAGCCTAATATATCTTTTCCGCGATAAATTCCTTTTGAAATCAGTTTCGAATGATCTCTGAAACGATGACGACGATCTAGGTGCCGAGGATCCTAGTTGAATCCGAACCCAGCGCTACAGGACATTTCGTTTGCAGTTTCGCCAGGTTCACTGCCTAGCTGAAATGATCCTCGCCAGATGATCTCACAGGTGAGCTCGAAGATGAAACGGATTCCAGTCGATACTTCCAACATGGATGATTGAATGGTCTCGATCGTTGCAGGCTGCAACGGTGGAACAAGAACGTCGACGGTCACATGCTTCCGAACGCTTTCCGGCCCCTCGTGACAGACAGGGAGACAATGACGACACTTAAAACGAAGAAGACTAGTCCGAAGAAGGCGGTTACGGCTCTACACCATTGTCGTTTCCGTTTCGCTCTAGCGATCGCTTGGCCCAACCTCTCGGCCCGGGACACGTCCAGCGTGAAGTCTAGGTCACCCGTGAAACCGCGCAGACGATGGTCCCAATTGCTTTTCCCGGACTTGACAACTATAGCCTCGCTGGACGAGCCGCCGTTACAGCACTCCAGCTGCTGAAACATCGGTCTTGACACGTTGGTTACATTGATATTGCGGACACCATTCCTATCGAGTCGAACTGAATGTTTCGTAGGCGACTATAAACAAGCTACGTATCGAAAGGAAACAATTGATGTCTCATTGATTTCTGGCTTTCGGGAGAAAGCCGTGTCCACTAGGAATTTTATCCCAACGTTTCGCCAGCATTGCAGCTGGCTTCATCAGGGGGCTGAAGGCACACCGATACCTCGATACTCGTGCCTTTGCACGTTGGGATAAAATTCCTAGTGGACACGGCTCTCCCCCGAAAGCCAGAAACGAATGCAACACTCCAGGTCGTGAAAGCATCAAAACTACAATTGATGTCTCGATCGAAAATATTCCACGGTTCTATACAAAGTTCAGAAGAATCTCGCCGAGGAAACCTACCGCGTTCGACTCGATATCGTTCAGTTTATAATACATTTGTTCATACTATAGATCCTATCTTGATAGAGCAGTGAACGATGAAAGGATATCGAGCGAAGCGACCGAACTGAAAGGCGAGCAACTGTTGCACCGGTTGGTTCTTACTCACCGTTGCGTACTCCGGTTCACCGTGGCCGAGTCTGTCACGACTCTCCTTCTCTCCGTTCAATCCGATCACCTCTTTCGCGTCCTGGCCGATCCTGCGATTCGCGTACGCGTTCTGCGCGGCCTGCCGGCTGGGCCGGCTCGAGCAGCCGCACGCTCGCGAGCCGGGAACGCTCGGCTCGTTCTGGCCAGCCGGTCCCGTCGGCTTCCCTTGGCGGTCGCTTGGCTGGAACATCTGAGGCGCGGCTTCCTTCTTCCCTGTCGCGTCCAGGGTCCTCGTGTCCTCGTCGCCCTTCGACGACGACGAGGAGGACGAGAGGAATCTGTGATGCTTGTGCTCGCAGGTGCACAGGGACGTGTACCAGGCCGGGTTGTGCAGGTAGAAGCGTCTGGTGTTCGTGTACAGCTTCGAGTTCACCGGATTGATCCTGGACGAGGTGGTCCTGCTCCCGCAGCCGAACAGCGACGAGGTTTTCTCGCTGAGCAGCGACTTCTTGCCGGACAAGAACGACGAGGCGTTGTGGCGGTACACGTACTCGTAGACGCCGCTCTTCAGCCCGATACCCTGCGCGACCTTCTGCGAGATGCTCTGCAGGATCTCTTCCGGCGTCATCGCGACCTCCCCGTCTATCACAGAGTTCAGCGTGTGGGACACCTCGAGGAGGATATCGTGGGCCGACGTGCCGGCGGATTTCTCGTAGTCCCGGTCGTACGGCGGGTACGTGTACGCGCACCCGCAGCCGCAACACGTGTACAGAGCTGCAACAAATCAGTCGTGAGGAGAATTATCCTTTTGCGTTCAACGGGTGACTATCGTTTCGTTGTACTGACTCTTTGATACCGTTGCGGCGACATTGCGAGATAAGCTTATAACTCTGTTCCTCGTGGAACATCACTTTACAATGTATACGCGTATGTTTTTTTAACCCTTTGCACTCGGAAGTATCTCGTTAGAAATACTTAAAATTTTCTAACTAGACACAGAAGACATTTTTTTAAATTAACTTACAGAGAAATTCCAAGTGAATTGAGAAACAAGGCTTTCTTATCCCAATATTTCACACGTCGATGCATTATACATAGTTCAATGTTGAATATCAAATTTTATAGTTTTACCGCATCAAATCAAGCGGTGACTGAGAGTCCCCACACAAAACGGGGAAGAATATAATATTAAATTTTAATTTAAAGCATTAGGTAGCAGGTGCGCTGGAAATTTCAAACGATCATCGCGGCAGCAGCACGGCCCCATAGCACGGTTCACTTCGGACCGCAGAGGGTTAGCTTTTGGCTCGACTTTTGCGGCCGGTGACTATAGTCAGCCGTAGTAGCGGAAAGGTTAACGCTCGCGTCGCTGTTTACCATCGTATTCGGGGTTCTCGTCAGTTTGGTAGAGCTCGCGCGGCCCGGGGAACGCGGACGGCCATATAGGACGCGGGATCGCTTCGCTCTCGTGGATCACGGCTAGCCCGCCGCCTCCGAAGTGGTCCTTCATCGACAACGGTACAGTGCGGAAAAACGCCTGGCCGGGCACCGCCGACGCGTAACAAGAGTAGGAGCCCGCTGACAACGGCGGCGAATGGCTGGAGTAACCGGAACTGGTCGAGGTTCGGCAGCATCTTCTCGAATTGTTCTGCGTGGTGGTCGTCGTCGTCGTCGCCGTCGACGAGCCGGCTACGAACCTCGAGACCTCGGTGTCTATCGAGTCAGGCTCTATCCTGTGTGACGAATATAAAATTAATGCCAAAGACAATGGTAACGCTAACGTTTCAAGCGAGTATTCCATTTTAGTTGAACGCGAACTCTACTCCTCTAGAACAAGCATTCAAGGATTCAACCCTTTAGATCCGAAATAAACATTCTTCGGGAAAACAATGGTTCGTACTTTACTGATTTCGGAATGGTTTCAAGGCGTTGCCAGTGGGAAGTAAGAGGTTACTCTAGAGGATGGAGGAAGGCGGAAGAAAAGCTACCGTTTATAGCGTGCATTCTCCATTTTCCTGTTCCACCGAGGGAAGTCCGTGAAGTTCTAATGGCTAGGCAATTGGTGCGTTATGAAAGTGCGCGACGCGGTCGGAGCAAGTTCGTTCAACTAAAAGGTAGATTATTGCTCAAGCCCGTGTCTGCATTGAATTTCACGGTCCGTTGCCGAGGAACGGCCTTTACCATTCCGCCTCGTGCAACTCGGTCCTCGGGACAGCGTACAGGCCGTCGGGATTGCAGCCGTACCGCTCGTTCGGTAAGTGTAAGGCCAACTTTACGCCATCGGCGTCGGGGCTGTTCTGGTTCCCGGCTGAAACTGCCAAGGCCGTTGCGATCGCGGCACTGGAACAGAATTTCCCGCGTTCCAGCATCCCCTGATACGGTCCAACGGTATCACCTATGACCAATTACCATATTTACAGAGCCGTAGCGGCCGGTTAAGGAGGGGCGTCGCGATCATTTCCAAGGGGGCAAACCATTCCGTCGAGAATCACCGGTTAACACTCTCTCTACCGATGGTACTTTAAGCCCTGCGCACATTGTATATTACTTTCGCTGCCTCGAAGAAATTTAACAGCTCAAGATACGGTCCCTTTTCTTCTAGACACAGCGGGACTATAGCGATTAACACACCGATTACCCATCGATGCTTTCATCTGGAGGCTATGAATTACTTGGACGTTTATTATTTTATGAAAATGTTCAACGTACGAATGTTATAACATCAAATTTAGTAAAGCTAGGAATACATAAACGACTATCGTATGGCCCGTAGTTAGAGAAGTTGGACCAACACCCAAAAGGGAAGCTCAACGCGTGATTCGTTTGACATTTGAAACGAGATTACAAATAACATTTTCAATTGAAATGTTTACATTTGAAATAACGTTGAAATCTTGAGTAACAACCGAGAAACCCTAAAGGCTGTACGCACGCCACAGACACAACAAACATTCGGACGCGCAAACATTTGGACACAGGTGTTTTCTTGGAAAAGAAAGCATCGAGGTATTGCGTAAGTCCTCAAGGATTATCGGCTCTCCAGCTTTCTCGTCGAAGAAATCAGCTTTTCAGAGATTAGCGTTTCTAACAGGCCATCTCGGGGAAACACGAGGACGGTCTGCGAAATAGAGAAAACCGTGGAGAAGCGGTTGCATCGCGCGCTCGGCCGGGTGCATTGCTCTTTTCGATGCGTCGCTGCGAATCGATGTGGCAATACGTCAGGCGTAATGTAATGGTTGAACAATTAGCGAGTCACCTTCGGCCGTTTTAGCGATGAATTTCTAACGGCCGAGGCTCGAGAGGCCGGAATTTCATAAATATCGCGCGCCGTTTCGGTGTCAACCGGTCGACTGTGGTGTTCAGTTTCGAAAATCCTAACGACGTGTCGTAAAGTATAATTGTTGGTACCCCGATGGTTCGTGGTCGATGACAGTGCTACCGCATGGGTTAGACGCAGGCTCGTCTAGGGCTAGCAACCACCGCTGCATGCTCTGTCGTAGTGGCCGGCAGCAGGCTGACGCCGCACGCGGTGTGGTCCTCGATTCCCTTGGTTCTCACCGACATGTCATCATTCTTCTTCGCCTTCTCGTTACTCGACGGCACACCTGCAAATCGAATCGATTAGAATTACATTCGCCGATAAATGTTCTAAGCGTAATTCCAAGTAAAATGGTCTGGTCTCGTTTAGACGATCATAGGCGATTTCATTATTACTTAGTTTGACAAATATTTTCTTTTTGTTAGGTATCAATGATATTGATGATAATAATAAACTTAAACTCTGGTAGTCACCGATTGATCGGAGGTTCCGAATTACTTGGAAATCGCTGCAATAAGAAAATCGATGTCGGGTAAGCATATTTAGAAATCGGAATTAACTTAAGCAATTAGATAATTGAATATATACATATATATTCAATATATTCAATTATATAATAGTATATATATATATGTTTCACATATATATATATAGTCCATTTCTACACCATTTCTACACCATTCGTCTAATCTACGAGAGAATAATTAACAAAACGCTTCAAACTCTCGAACGGTCGACGCGCGAGATATCAAAGAAAAATAGTCTGCAATGAAGTTGTTCATTTGCCGGTCACAATCGTCTCTTACAATGTCCCTACCTTGCCGTTGCCCACGATCGCAGGTGTCGCAATCGTGAACGTCCGCGCGGTATCATCGATAATCGAGCGGGATCATTGTATTCTCGCCTTGTCGCCTGTCCCTTCTTCCATATTCAGGACTAACCTTTAGCGTGGCGTAATCGAGACAACCGCGAGGACCGTCTTGCATATTAGGTTGTCGAGAATCGGCCGATCGACCGCGTGTTCCATCCTCCCACACGGTTCAATTAAAATAATTACACAATTCGTGCCTCGCCGGCCGAGAACTCGGCTGCCACGGCGCCCTTTATCGTCCGAGCTGTTCCTCTCTCAAATTGACCGACACCGCGAAAGAGAAATCGAAAATAAACACGAAAATATCGAGTCATCGAACACGTGTCTCCAAATTTCTCAAAGAAGTTCCCCTTTTTAATTCATTCGTGTGACCAGACGCAGTCGCATTCCAAACCTTCGACTCTTCCCCCAGCCCTGCGCAACATCCCTTTCAGAGAAGTCTGCGCATCAAGTGTACGCACCCGGTGCAAATATCTTTTTTCGAAAACTCGGGTACCACAGCGACGAAAGTCGAGACAACGACCGCAGGACTGAAAATGGCGGCCCTAGAATAGCAGCCCCAGTTTCTCCAAACTCTCCATCTCTCACCGCTTAACCCCTTGCCTTTCGATACAGTGTCAGACACATGGTGTAGATTTTACACAGAATCGAACAGACATGAACGTTACCTATGAATTCAAATGAAATGTAGAAAGAATCGTTAAAACAGGTAGAGGTCGCAACAAAATAGAATGTCGAGTCCGACTCGACACAGGACTGCTGAGGGTCAAAGAATCTTCGTCCGCAAAGGGTTAACCCTCAGCACTCCAGATGGTTTTGTAATCTATCAGCAACTGCAACGAATTTTTATAGTAGTCCTACTGAAAATGAACAATCTCAGAACATTTCTTAGACCTTTAATTCCCTTCTCAGTACAAACTTCGTATATTCGGAAGATCTAATAATCTTAAGGTAGTTTTCTTCAAATTCATGTAAATATTTAATATCAGAACTGGTGCAATATTGGAGCCTACAGAGTTCGAAGGGTTACACCAAGGAAAAACCGCGCGTCTTTTCGAAGTTCAGTCCCTGTTACGCTGTTGGTCTAACGAGTTTTCTAGAATAGAGGAAAGCGAAACGAGCCGAGCGAATTTTTCGTCCCCGCGACGCTCGGTCACCTCGACGACATCTCCGGCAGATATTCGTCGCGCGGGCCGTTTAGTATTGATGCGTGGTGGATGATCCATGTTTCAAGGTCGCTTTCACATTCGTCATGTTCACGTAAGAAATTGTACAACGGAGTGGAACGGGCGTTACGTTATTCAGGACATTCCGCCGCGGCAGGAATGTAGGGTAATGTTATATTTCTGTAATGCAACGGCCGGCGGTCGAAGGAGCCGGCGAGATGTCTTATCGCGGCTAAGCGCGGCCGTAACACGTCCGCGGACAACTATATCCCGGACGATTGCGCTCCGAATTGCCGGCTAAACGTAGAAGCGCGAGCTTTAAATTATAATCACGCGCCGGTATCGCGCGAGCATCGCCGTCTTTTATGTAATCGCGTTGTCTTCTGTTCCCACCGCGATCTCGCGTCTCTCGTTCCTTGCGTTTCGCGATCGGACGCTTCTGCGCGGAGTCTATCGAATTCTTTCATTCTGAATTTTATCTATTGTATATACCGCAAGCCAATTAACCAGAATTCAATCTAATTAACGACAGTGGCTTCCGTGTATATCGTACATGGTATATTTTAACCCTTAGCACTCCAGACGGTTTAGTAATCTATCAGCAACTGCAACTAATTTTCATATCTCTAGTGAAACTGAAGAATGCTATAACATTCCTTCGATCTTCTATTTTCTTTCTCGGTACAAAATTTGGATATGTGGAAAATCGAAGAATTTTAGGGTAGTTTCTTTGATTCATTGAAGTATTTAATATTATAACCGGTGCAATATTGGAGCCTGCAGAGTTCAAAGGGTTAAATCTTAGGTGACCACGCAGCATTCGACGTACAATTTAGCAGACTCCGCAGGAGGATCCGTATACTCGAAGGAATCTTCGTCTACAAAGGGCTAACCCATTTGCACCCGTAAGCGAAATATTCCGCGACAGACTTTATCGCCCGCGGAATATCCCGCATACGATAAACTGCCGATATACGTCGACACAAAATTAACACTTAGACCGCCTAAAAAGAACTACAACTACAACCTCCTCCATTATCTGCAATTGAACTAATTCGAATGAATTCCGTTGGACACTGTGTTTTGTAAAAACAAGAACCGTATTCGATCGCAAATAATACCACTATAAGACTTACTAAATAACGAAAAAGATAAACGGAATAAAAGGTGATGTATTGCTAAGTGAAAAGTTCTCCCCTTCTAGTGAACACGTTCAGTGCCACGTGTACCACGTGTGGTACACGTTAATTTTTGTAAGAAAATATCTTTAAGGGACACACTTTCCGTGGCACGGAACGTGTTAAGTGTTAAGTAGTCACGATGCAAATGGGTGAAGAGCAGACAGAAAAAAATAGTAGGAAAGAAGAAGCAGCGAACAGAACGAGGAACATACGAAGAGGAAGAAGAGGAAGAAGACGATCGGCTGAGAGGCGGAGCGCAAGGCAGCGATCGCCGTGCACGATGCACGATGCACGATGCACGACGCGCCAAAGTAGCCTGTTTACTCGGCGAAGTTACAGGTAAGACTCGCGCGGGTACTCCAATTACCTAGTACCATTGGGATCACCGTGCGCGCCGGCGTAGCGCCCCAGCACCCCGCATTCCGGCACCTTCGCGTGCACCCGGCCGGCCACTTTCACGTCGCTACGCACACCGGCGTACGGCCGCTCCGCCGGGCCCGATGTTCACGTATTACACACGGTTGCAACCCTGGAATGTCGATTGACGTTACAAAAGTCCTGTGCTTGGAGAGAAGAATGTCGACCGCGCGGCCAGAAGCTCGGTATCACGCGGATACGCGCGGCTACCGCGGCTAGCCGGCATAGGAAACGCGGGTTATGTAAACCAGACGTTTTTCTCGCTCGTGCTCTCCCATTCTTCCCTTCCTCCTCGAACCAAGGGAAATTCATCCGACGAATCCGCCGGATTCGGAGGCAGATAGGACGACGAACGAGGGAAGATGGGGGAGAGAGGCGAATCGCGACAATCGGAGCGCCGCCGATTGGAATGTTCGGCGACGCTTGCTTCTCGCGACGCTCGTTTCTCTTCGTTATCGGGGATTTGGAATGTGGATCGATGGATGGTTTGACAGAGGAATATCGAGAAGCTCGATGTACGCCGGAGTTCGTTTCACGGTGGAACTACCGAGTAATGAGATGTGTGTGATTTGTTAGGAAAATTGGGACGCAAGGATTGAAGCTCCTGTTATCCTTGGTTATCTGGACTATCGATAGTATCGATAGTTTCGTTTGTTTCATTGTTTCGTTAGACTATTCTATTGTAGGATTCTTAGCTCGAATTAGCTCGGACAGTCGAGGTTTCGCTGTATTTTCTATGGAGTTTTGGTAAAGATCATCGAGATCCAAGGGAAAAAGCTATCTGATTTTTGACGACTTTTCAGTCATATCATTCTCTGAATGTTCGTTAGATTGACCGCGTGCGATCCGTTCCAACGGAGGTCTTTTACTACGGTTTAATTAATAATTAGCCGGCGGTGGGCGCCGCGAGGCTCACCGGGGGCCGCGTGAATGAACGCGCGCGCGCGAGTCACGTAGTTCTGGCCGAATGACGATTCAGGATCATGCCTCTTCTCGCTTTCTCTGCTAATTTATGTCTTCGACCCGTTTTCTCGATTTTGTTGCCTTTTTTAATCGTGCCCGCACCTTTCTAAACGGTTTCACAACGCCGAATTTAACGGTCGCTCGTAGACGAATCGCGGCGATCCCCGCGATCGCGCGTTATCGCCGATCCGCGGCTACCAGAATCGTTGATGTCACGCAGCTTTCGTTCGGCGGACATTCCTATTCGTCCAGAGTTTCGTTGCCGCGAGTGAGACTCACGGAAGCAGTTGTACTCCGTTCAACGGACATCAATCTAGTTGCTGTAAACTAGCGTTCATCGAATCGATCGTCCGAATTGAACTCGTCGAACGGAACAGTGAACACCAGTGTACATCAGTTTCGACTTAATGCTAGAACTACCGAGCATTCGATACGACTGATTCGATATAATTCGTAGAAATCGTAACGGTAGATTTTTCTTGGTTTCTTCGGATGTTCGTTACGTATTCGAGCGAAGCAAAATAAGTTGTTAACACCAGACAACTTTATGGCGAATAATCAATTCCTGAACCTTTCATTCGCGATTACCGAAGAAATCATAGATTCTTCACCGAGAAATCATTGAAGCAATTGATTTAATAAACTATATATCAGTCAAT